CCAAAAAAAAAAAGTTGCAAAAGCAATAAAAAAAGTGAGGACTTCTCGCAAAAGATGAGAAGTGAGAAATGATTAGATGGAGGTTGTTTTGATTTGTAGCCTAATTGATTTGAGCTTGTAAGTCCTTAGGGGTGTTTGAACACCTAGTGCCTTAAAGCCATTTGGTTTGGGAGTTATTGACCTAACGCTCGACATCATGGATCGCTAGAAAGCTTCATAGATCAATACATTGCAATATGCTTCCATCTTTGATCCTCTACGATTTAAAAAAAATAAAAAATAAAAAATATCGAGTGAAAAAGAATAAGCGCACCTAGTTTAATAAAGCTTTAATAAAAGGTCTACTCTTTGTTTTGATGATCGATACTAGATTTGTGTGCTAGTTTGAGGGTAAGAATGTGATCATTTCTTTGGTTGACTTAGATAGCAACATATTTGATGCCGCTCCACTCAAAAAGGATTCTAGTGTTGTTTTGATTTGCATGAGCATCTTCTTGATGTATGGAGGACCATATTTACTTGTTTGATGTTGAAATTTTGGGAGATTGCTTGGAAATGGTTGAAAAATTGCATACTTGAGGTAGTTTTCTCTCAATGCTTGTTTGCAATATTGGTGCCTCATTTGTGAGAATGAGCTTAATGTTTGTGGATATCATTTCTGGAAACCCTCACGAGACTTCACTCATCCACTAGGGGTAACCCAGGGGTTTAAAAGGCCTATTGCATATGCTAAACGCAATCGTATTCCCTACGAAAGTGGCGTTATCTATTTATTGCTTTCTCATTCATACTTGTATAGCTGTTCATTTCATTCCTTTACTTTGTAGTTCATTGCTAAGGACTAGCAATACTTAAGTTTGGGGGTGTGATGAGCGCTGAAAAGTGTGCATTTAAACCCCTTAAGCTTAGGTATTCTAGGACTTTTATCTATCTTACTTTCCCGTTTTAAACTACATTCATGTTATTGCCCTTTTTAGGTGCTTATCCCAAAAATAAGCTCATTCTACCAAATAAGAGCTTAAAATAAGCTAACTCAAGCTGGATGGAAGAAAGGAACAAAGTGGAAGCAGATTGAAGCAAAGTGTGGAAATTCGGCAGGTTTGATTGATCTCAAGAACACTTCGATCGATCGAAAGTTCATCGATCTAGACTCTCCAAGATGGATCCAAGCTCTAGTTCGATCGATCCAACAATTCTCAGATCGATCGAAAAGATTCCATCTTATCCTGTTATGCCACCCTACCTACCACTTTTGTCTCATTCCCCAAAATATCTCAGATCTATCCTTATCCAAAAAGGCGCCGCCATGGGAGGATCGATCCAGCCAAAGTTTGATTGATCTCTGCCATGTTCAATTGATCACAGCATAGGTTCGATTGATCGAACCCTCTCAAATCCAAAAAAAAATATATCTCCAGCTCATTAAAAATTATCTCAGTGTGCAATCATTGGAGGAGCCCTTGTGTACGAGCCTAGACCATTGGGTGTGACATTTGAGCTACCTATATAAGGATTATGAGCCATTTTACACATATGCTTAGATAGTCATAGTAGTTTTTGATAGTCTTACATACAATTCTTAGAGAGGAAGAAAAGAGAAGAGGAGGATAGAGACATTCTTTAAAGGTTTTCCATCTTCCCCAAGAAGAAGAGCACTTCTACCATGGAGATAGCCCTTGAGGGTTGGAGGACGCCATTCATGAGTGGCTAGACATTCTCTTGGGGCTAGAGTTAGCCCTAAGCATACTTTCTTTACCTTGATTTATGTATTTTTGAGGGGATTTGTGTTGTAATACATGTTTTGACATATTTATATACACATATCTTGTTTATTCAATGATTTGTGTGATTTAATTTTTCCAATTAATCATTTCATTTTATCCATATGTCTATGTATGCTAGGACAGATGTTCATATGTTTATCTCTATCTCTTGTGTTGTTGATGCTATAGATCTAAAGATTGTCAAGACATAGTGTTTAATAGAATGCTCTTGTGGTTTATCTGATGGTTCATACTCATTTCTTGATGGATTGTGCCTCTCCTTTAGTCTAATTAGTTTAATTTCCATGTCATTAGGTTAGATGTAGTGTAGCTACCTTAGTTGTTAAATGGGAGTACAATCCATGCTTGTTGTTTGATGTTCCATACTTATGAATGCAAGTAGTATATTTCTCTAATTATGTGATGTGTTTGGATTGCGAGCTTAAAGAAAGATTAATGACTTAGTTTGATGTATTATGCTATTCATTGTGTTGTTTAGACAATATATACTTAATTGGTCATCCATGCTTGTAAAAACAACCACACACACTCACTATTGTTGCAACATATGTTTTCCCCCTCATTAATTGTGAATTGAGTGAATAGAAATGTGATGCTTAGTGGTCATCTCTATGTCCGAAGATCTCTCTCTCTTGTTTTCTCTATCCTTTAATTACTTGTTTTATATTGATCTTGTTTAATCTTAATTGTAGTTTAATTGACCAAACAACCTACCTTTAATTACTTGACCTACTAACCCTAAGCATTGTTCCATTACTAGTAGCCCTTCAATCCCTTGGGACGATCCTTACTCACCCTTTGTTATATTTTTAGTTAATGGTAGTAGTGGCATTTATAAATATAAAACTTGGCTACATTGCACATTCACTATCTTTTGCACATCTTTAAGCATTGGTGTGGCAACACACCAACCATCACTCCTCGCAAAGAGGGTTCAAAAGCAAAAATTTTAGAGCAGAAGCCCAGGACTCGCGAGCACCCGCCCATTAGGGCAGATCCCTCATGCACCACGGGCACCCACCCCAAAAGTTGCGAGCACCCGCCCAATCGGCCAGAAAATTCGTGTATCACGGGAGCCTGCCCAAGAGTCGTGGGCGCCTGCTCTGTACCTGCAAGTGCCTGCCATATTGCATATAACAGATCAACCACTCCATGGATTTACTGAATGTTATCCCCTTTGACCCTATTGTGTGGTTCTACTGCTTCTAGGGATTTTGGACCACGAATGGTTAGGAGGCTAAGGTTAATTTATTAAGGGCTTAAGGGGCTTTGTAAAGGGGATCTCACAATTTGTAAGGTTCTAGAGAGAGAAAGAGGTGTTCTTGAGTGTGTGGGTTGTTCTTGACCCTTAAAATGCAAAAATGGAAGGCCTCATCCTCTCTTCTTCTTCCTCCATTGCTCCTATAGGTAACTAACTCCTTTTCTTGGGAGGTGATGAAGCCCTACTTTGTAAGTATGCCTTAGTTTTGGTTTAATTTTGGGGTAACGATGTATGTATGTGGTTTTTCCATGATCTAGACCACTTTACATGTTGTAATGAACTTCAATGTCTATAAATGATCATTTTGAGTTAATTATCTTGTCTTAAATTGTTTCCTCTTATGATTATATTGCTTTCATTTTCATAGTGATAATGGAAATGAGATTGTGGAAGTGTTTTTATTGGTATGTTTTATAAGAACTTGTTAGTCCATAGCTTAGGGCCTCCCTTTAATAGATTAATCTTGAATCTTGATTTCATATGCTTTTATCATTTAATTGAGGGCTTGATAATCTCTAGCTTAGTGACCATGTATAAGGCTACACCCTAGTTTAGCTAGCTTAAGCATGTGAAACTTTGATGGGTTATTCTTGCCTTTTGATTTCATGAATCTCTTGAAGGTAATGAAGCAATTTTGTGTTATTGCATTCCTTGGTCATATATATATATGTTGTTTCCCTAAGTGAATCAAGTTCTAGCATGTTTATAGGTGGGTAGTGGATTCACTTCCCTAGTCCTCCCTACCTATATTTCTTTCCTCGTAATTTCCTTGCAATTATTGTTTTAAGCACTCTTTAATCCCTAGTTCTAAATGACAAACCAATCAAAACTGTATACCCCTTTCATCAAACTAAAAGTGAATTTAAAGACCTTGGTTGCCATAAACTAGCAGTCCTAATGGTTCGACTTCCTCGTCCAATAGCCCTATTTTATAATGATTTGCGCTATTGCAAAAGGTTGATTATTATTGATAGTCGACAAGACCTGATCAATTTTTGGCGCCGTTGCCGAGGATTACAAACAGTTTTGTAACTGAAGTTTAAAGATTAACTTTGGTTTAATTGTGAATATTGTGTTTTGTGAATATTTTCTTGTTCGGTTTTGATTATTATTGTGTTTTAAGTATTTTGGTGAGATTCTAGGGACTCAAGGCTTGCCGGGGGAAAATTGAGAAAAATCGTAAGTCTAGAGGACTCCCGGTAAGTTTTTAAAAGTTCTAGTATCACAAGTGTGAATATTTGGCATATGTTTAATTTTATGACATTTAACTTGTGAAGCCCTTGTCAAGGCTATTTATTTTCTATCTTGTTGATAATTGAGGAGAAAAGGAACATCGTATGTGAAGGCTATGGTGATGAATTGTTGTGTTGCTTATGAAGTGTGTTGTTAATGTTTGGTCGTAGGTCATTATCTTTGCCAACTCTTGAATCGACCATTGACATAAATTCGCTTGAAAGGACTCCTAGAAGAAACCTTAGGGAATCTGTAAATATAAAAGGAATTGAACTTGAATTTAATACAATGGCTGGTAATGAAGAAAATGTCAAGAATAAGGAAATCAATAATAATAGGGCCGAAATTCCAAATGTAGTTCCTATGACTCTTAGGGACCATTTCACCCCTACAACTTATACCTCTCCTTCTTGCATAGTGATGCCAAACATCGATGCAGCTCAATATGAAATCAAATCTAGTACAATTCAAATGCTTCCTTCCTTTCATGGCTTGGAATATGAGGATCCCTATAAGCATCTTGATGAGTTCCTTGAAATCTGTTCTACCATCAAGCTGAGGGGCTTCCCTGAAAATGCTCTCAATTTGCATCTCTTCCCATTCGCTTTAAAAGATAGGGCAAAATATTGGTTGAACTCCCTTGCTACAAATTCCATCACTATATGGGCTCAATTGCAACAAGAATTTCTAAAAAAATACTATCCAGTGAGTAAAACCAACCTAATGAGGCGTTTTATTCTTAGTTTTTCACAAAACTATGGGGAGCAACTCTATGAAACTTGGGAAAGATTACAAGATCTCCTTAGGTAATGTCCGCACCACCTAATTCCAAAATGGCAATTGGTGCAAGCTTTCTATGTTGGTTTAACCGATACCCATAGATTCATAGTTGAGTCACCATGTGGAGGTATGTTCATGTCTAAAAGTGCAGATGAGGCATAGACCCTACTTAAGAATTTGAGTGAAAACTCATTGCAACATAATTCTCGTAGTGTTCCAACCTCAACCAATGCAAAGAACACCAACCAATGTCAACCAAAGACACTGAGGGAAGAATCTTCTCAAGTGGATGCCATAGCTCACAAATTCTATCAATTAATGGCACCGCATCTCTCTCCTCCCTTGTCTCAAAATTCAGCCAGTGCGGTGTGTGCATCATGCACTAGTTCTTTCCATCTCTCAGAAGATTGCCCTACACCGAAGCAATTTCCTAGTCCCAATCGAGCAAGCAAATGCGATGTTTTCTAGGCCCGAAAACAATCCTTATTCTAATACCTATAATCCAGGATGGCGAGATCATCCAAATTTCTCGTGGAGGCAACAAGCCCTACAAAATTCGCAATTTCAAAATCAAGGGCAGCAAAATCAGCCCTCTTCTCAATTTCAAAATAGGCAATTTCAGGCCTCTTCAAATTACCATCCCCCTTATAATCCAAATGTCTCTAATCAACCTCATGTGTTTCCAACTGATGAAACTCTCGCTGCAAATAAACAAATGATGGAATCTCTAAACAAGTAAAATGTTGGAATCCAATAAGCAACTGTTGACATCGTTACAGCCCACCCTCCAAATGGTTCACTCTCACACTCAGTTAATAGCTAAACTTGAAAATCAAGTAGCACAAATAGCTACTTCAATGAACCAACTTCTTCAAAGAGATAAGGGTGTTGGCCTAAGGATTTTATCTAAATATCAATCTTATGTTTTGATGATTACAAATCATTAATGATGTTTAAGTACTAATATTTTCATTGAGTGATGTATAGTTGATCAATATTCAATCCTCAATGATGAGCTAGAAGATCCATTCTAAGCATTCCAAGCACTCAAGCAATGGATTCAAGGAAACCTCAAAGTTGCAAGAAATCAAAGAAAAATTCAGACTTCAAAGATCACACAAAACATTTCAAAGAAACAAAGCAAGTCTTCATCAAGCCTAAACGATCATGGTTAAAGAATGAAGAAAATGATAGATAGGATGGTGAGAGCTTAAGATTTAATGCCAAAGTATTTTTTAATTCATTTGAAGCTCATATTTATAGGACCATGCATATCATACATCATTTATATGCTCCTACATCATTAGCAATAGACTATGAACTTCAATACATATATATTTAACATATGAAGTCTTTGCTAAGATTGAGTTAGTTTAAGCTTATATAGGCATCGAAAGAACTCACAACTTAAGCTAGAAATGCTAGGACCATGCACATTAATCATAATATTTTTTTGGTCTTTAGAAAGAAAAGGAAAAGGCATTGAACTTGATATTTCATCTTTAAAGCCTTTGTTGCCATAATTTGGTAAATGACTCTAGGACATAATGCACTTAAAATTTATCATCTTTATATGTTCCTAGACTCTTAGAAACATCCCTTGAACTAAATTGAACCATTCATCAAAGTCCTAGGTGCTAGAAAGATAGATATCTCATAAGAAGCAATTTTCACCCCAGAAAAATTTTAGACCAGCCTGTCCTAAAAATGCTATAACTATTTGTGTAGTTAGAATTTCTATGTAAGGCCAGTTGCATTTGAAAGCTGACTTTGAGCCCTTGAGTTTAGACCCAAATTTAACCTAAAAAGGATTTGAATTGAGTGAGATATAACCATCATAAGATGCCAGATTCTGCTCTGCGAAATTTCTGATCAGGTTATACTAAAACGGCCATAACTATTTCTGCGGTTAGAAATTTTGAGCAAGGCTGGTGGTATTAGAAAACTGACTCCAAGGTAATAAATTTAGACTTAAATTTCACCTCATTTAGAGTTTCATGGACTGAGTTATGTCCATTTGAAGCCATACACTTTTTCTGTCCAATCCAATTTAGCAGCAGCCTTCATGAAGCAAGAGCCGTCTCTATAAGAAATAGAGCCAACTCTCTCAAGGCCAATGGAACAAGCTCTATGAAAGATAGAAAAGGCTCCATGAAAAATGGAGAAGGCTCCATGAAATAGAGAAGGCTCCATGAAAAATAGAGAAGGCTCCATGAAAATTATAGAAGGCTCCATGAAAAAGAGAAGGCTCTATGAAAGATAGAGTAGGCTCTCAATAATAGAGCCGGCTCTGTAAAAGACAGCATGCTCTCACAACTACAGTAGTTGTTTTTTAACGAAAAATGAATCTTCCAACCAAAGAGCAGGCTCCCAAAATAGGGAGTAGGCTCTCAGAGGCTGGGAGCTGGCTTCATAAATTGGAGAGCCAGCTCTCAAGGCAAGAGAGCCGCCTCCTCTTGTTTTGCAAGAGCCGGCTCCTTCTAGGGTTTTGAACTGTAACGGAAACTGTTTAATTTATTGATCCCCAACCACTTCTAACAGCTATATTAAGCTACCAACTTCTTTATATATATATAGTGGGCTAGTCTACTGAAAGACACCATTTTGAGAGACATTATATTACATTATAAAGAGAACTTTTGTCCTCATCTTCTCTTCATCTCTCTCATTCACTCTTATTCCATCTTGAGAGATTCCAACAAAGATTAAAAGGGTTTTTGCTCTTGTTTTAATCTTCATAGTGTTTTTGCTCTATTATACACTTAAGAGATTCTATTGAATTCATAGGAGCTTATTTTCTTCATATATTTCATCTTCTCTCATTCATTTCATTCATAGAGTTTGAGCTTCATTTATATTCATTAATACTCTAGCTGTGAGCTAAAAATTCTACTACTATCTTTGAGAGATTTATTATACACTTCATTTCTATTACAAGTTATTGTAAAGGGTTGGTGTGACCCAAAAGGAAGCCTAGGAGAAGGGTGTTCTCCTAGCAAGAAAGAGAAGCAAGGTCTTGCTTCAATTGAAGGTTTGCTCTCCACCATTAAGGAGAAGCTCTAAGGAATTTGGGAAGTCTCAAGAGGGATATTGAGCCGAGGAGTAGGAGTTTCCGAACCTCGCAAAAATTGCCAAGTTATTGTTTACAATTTCTCTTCCCTTATCTCCTTTACAATTGTGCTAAATTTATTACTTTCATATCTTAATTATTGCATAATTGGTTATATTGTTGATTAGAAATTGTATTTCTATAATTTGTGAAAATTGGCCATTGACTCTATTCACCCCCCGTCTAGAGTCAATTATTGGGTAACAATTGGTATCAGAGCCTAAACTCTATTGATGGACTTAACCATCTTAGAGTACGATCATGGCCAATAATAGTAGTATCACACACTTAGAAGGTTATCCCATTGATAAACCCCCTTGTTTTGATGGGAATGATTATATTTGTTGGAAAATTAGAATAAGGGCCTTCTTAAAAAGTATAAAATTGATTTATGGAAAGTTGTAGAAAATGGTGGTCATATCCCAACCAAAGTTATTGAAGGGAATGAAATTCCTAAATTAAAAGATGAATGGGATGAAAATGATCACAGATTAATACAATGTAATACTTTAGCCATATGCCATCTTTATTATGCATTAAGCAAAAATGAGTTCAATAAGATTATCTTTTGTAAAACCCTAAAGAAATTTGGAACTCACTTGAATTAGCCTACGGAGGATCAATTAATGGTGAGGAATCATATATGCCTATGCTTATTGAGAAAGATGTTGCTTCCATCATAAATGAAAATGAATTAGTTAGTGAGATGTATTCTAGTTCTACTAACATTACTAATCATTTGAATTTTCTTAGTAGAACTTACTCTTCTTCCTATAGTGAAGAAAATAAAGCAACTCAAAAGAAGAGTATAACTCTCCAAGCTTCTAGCAAAGAAGCAAGTGACATTAAAGGATTGGACAAACTTTGTCTCATAGCCGATGAAGATGAGGTAAATTCTAATCATGAATTTTTTGATATAGAAGCCTCTTATAATGAACTAGTTGATGCACATAATGAATTACTTGATGCGTTTAAAGAGTTACATGGTGTGCTAGAAAAAATGACTGTGAAATGTGCTTATCTTAAAAAGGAAAATCACAATCTCTCTCAAAGACATGAAAAAGTCCAAATGGAAAATGATTCTTTGAAAATGAAAAACCATTATCTTGTGCAAGAATTATAAATGATCCAACTTGAAAACGAATCCTTGAAAAAGGAAAAGGATAATATACTATCTATAGAGCCACCATCAATTGATTGTGTTTCCAAGTATAATCTTTCAAAGGAAGTCATTGATGATCAAAATGGCACTTTAGCAAAGACAACCAAAGGAAAAGAGAACTTAAGTTCTATGCCTGGAAATCAAAGAGTTATCTATTTCAAAAATGAGATAAGATATGATTCTCATACTAAAGATGCATGCTTGTTGAAAAGAAGAAAGCTTTTATATGATTACTTTGTCAAAAGTGGTACCCATTTCTTCAAATGCAATTATTGTAAGAGGCTAGGACACAAAATTTATAATTGTCCATTTAAAAATAAGATAACAACGAAAAGAATTTGGGCTCCAAAAGGAACTTATATGCCATTACCTACCTCATATGGACCCAAGAAATTTTGGGTACCAAAAGAAGAATGTGCAACATTTTCTTGTAGGCATCTTCTTTAATCAAGGATTAGGAAGGAAGCATCATGCTTGGGAACAACCCCAAAGGTAAGTATTGGGTATCAAAGAACACTTGAGTATGTTTTGTAGGTTAAAGACCTCTTCTTTCAAGAACAAGTGGATTCTCAAAAATGGATTACTAAAGTGCATAAAGAGAAATCAAGTCCTGATTTCCCCTCGCTGATAAAATGATGAAGGATGCACTACATTGAGAAACCATGGCAAATCTACTGGAATTACTTGCTTCGGTAAATATCCCCTTCTTTATCATAAATGTGCTTTTAGTTGATAAGCTTAAATATACCTTGATTATGCTAGATAAAAGGTAATAC